TTTTTTTTGAAATAGTTAATTTGACTGACTTTATGCCTCTTCAATGTCACAAATGTCGCACTGGACTGGATTTTTGCTTTTTAGGATGAACTATGTGATTTCACTTTGGAATTTACCCGGACCGTCTCACGGTGCCTACGTCCGTTGTGCCTACTGCTATTGTGATAACTTTATTTCTTCAAATGATGAAAGTTATTAGAATAACAGCTATTCCACCAGCTAACCTGTTCATTTCACCAGTGCCCTCCCTTGTTTCACCAGGTGTCACCCATTAATTACAATAGAGCATGATTATTTTAATAGACTAGTTATCTAAATTAAAGTTGTTACTGTAACTATTGTTATAATAACATAAGTTGTTACAATAACATTTATTACATTAACAACATGACTTATTACAACAAGACAAGTTATTATAACAACAAAAAATAGTCAAGTATCTGTTGTTACAACATTTGCCGTTGTTATCCTGGCAAGTAATTAGCCTTTTCAGCGCTGTCGTCGCTCGGCATCATGGCGCCTTCTCTGCAGGCAACCGCACCAACGACGGCGCAGCAGTGGTTGCCTACCCTCGGAGTGGCAAGCGCTTAACACCTCTGCGGCCGGTGAGTGGCCGTCCGGCTTCGCTTCTTGTTGCACACCTTGCACTCAAATGGCTACTCTGGTTTCTCTAACGGGCACCCCAAATAATTACCCAATTGCAATGGAACTCATTGGTGTGCAACAAGAAGCGAAGCTGGACGTCCACTCACCGGCCGCAGAGGTGTTCAGCGCCTGCCACTCCGAGGGTAGGCAACCACTGCTGCGCCGTCGTTGGTGCGGTTGCCTGCAGAGAAGGCGCCATGATGCTGAGCGACGACAGCGCTGGAAAGGCTAACTACTTGCTAGGATAACAAAGGCAAATGTTGTAACAACAGATACTTGACTATTTTTTGTTGTTATAATAACTTGTCTTGTAGTAATAAGTTATGTTGTTAATGTAGTAAATGTTATTGTAACAACTTATGTTATTATAACAAAAGTTACAGTAACAACTTTAATTTAGATAACTAGTCTATTAAAATAATCATGCTTTATTGAAATAACTGTTTGACACCTGGTGAAACAAGGGAGGGCACTGGTGAAATGAACAGGCTAGCTGGTGAAATAGCTGTTGTTCTAATAACTTTCATCATTTGAAGAAATAAAGTTATCACAATAGCAGTAGGCACAACGGACGTAGGCACCGTGACGCCATCCCGAATTTACCTACTTGGATCCTGGTGCAACTTCTGTATGTGAAGATCTTGCTATGGTATGTTATCGTTCTTTCAGAATGAAACTATTTTTAGACGCATTCTTAGTTATTTCCTTTTTCTATTTTAGGGTTCGGAGCATGTACATACGG